TTTTATTTTATTTTCAGTAATGGGAATAAATTTTATCCACAATTTAAAAAAGTTATATTCCTTAATTAATAATTTTTATGAAAAACAAAGTAAAACGAATACCAAAAGATCCAAACTTACAACATTATATCAATCAAACACATTTAATTGACAATTCACAGGAAAACAAGTTCTAGGCAATTCAATTATCTAGAATTCGTTTTCTTTCCATCCAAATTTCATTGTTGCAATCAAATGGACCCTAATAACTCTTTTTTACATTCGAAATTCATAACCTAAAAACAAACTGAAAGAATTGATGCCAATCCTTGAATAGTACGAGTAATTACTTTTGGTTTGTTAGAGCAACCCTCACGTTTGGCAGTTTCTTGAATTGAAATGTGTGTTATGATATATGTTTTGCGGACTTCAAAACGATAAATGAGACATTTCCTTTGGCAGTTTCTTGAATTGAAATGTGTGTTATGAAATATGTTCTATGGACATCAAAACGATAAATGAGACATTTTTACGATGTATAGTGGGAAATCATCCCGCAAATGAGTTTGGCGAAAGTAAAATAAAAGAGATTCAATTGCATTTATAAGTCGATCCCATGCGTTTATGAATTTTACGGACTTTCATTTGAAGTCCACCGCTGGTTGGAAATCCATAATATTATGCCTATAGGTAATAAAAATCAAATTTTTAATAGATTTGATAAAAGTTTAGAAAATCGAGAGAAGAAAGATAGACGGTCACGAAGGATTACATCACTTTATCAGATTTTTATAAATATACATTGAACAATGAAATATCAATCGAGCTACATTGTCCCCAAATTTTGCCAGATTTACACTTAGTCTCGTTTATTTCTCATTATTTGTTTATTAAAATGAAAAATTTGATCGTTATCCATGACATCAAGCCATCATATTTGACTTTCTATCTCTTGTGTGAGACTTGTAACGTCCATATTTTTTATTTTTATTTTCATTTTTACATTAATGTGTACCAAACGGGACCTTAAATTTCATCGATAGTTGAACAAGAAACAATTTTAACACATTCAATCACAAGCTGCCATCTCCAGGGGTGGACCTAGGGGGGGGTTTATAGGGGCAATTGACCCCCTAGATTTTGGGGGAAAAAATTATTGCTTTTTTTTTTTTCCTTAGTTTTTTTTATTAGAAGATATCCTATAAATTTTATTTTTGCCCCCCTAAGCCAAGTCGTCTGGGTCCGCCCCTGGCCATCTCCGACGTTGCAAACCACCTTGGCAAAATACTTGATAAGAGTTTAATTGATAGTTGAACAAAAAATAATATTAACACGTCCCATCATAGGCTGCTATATCAAACATGGAAAATTGTCCTAGCAATTAGTTAGTCACCATAGCTAACTAGTTAACTCATTTCATTTGCTTCCAATCACCAAATTTGAAGTCAAATTGAACCAAGGATGTCAAATTGAAAAAATAACGATTAGAATAGTAAAACAACACATTTCTCTATGAACGGCCGCCATCTAACCTAAATCGGCTTGGCGCGGTCGCCCCACTCGATTGGCCGGTCAAAAAATTAATTTTTTGAGTAAAAAATTGCTACAAAATATGCACTAAATCAATGGTCACTAATTGCGTTGTGCTATACATTTATCGATGAAATGAATTTAGTCTCTTTACTTTGACGGACATACGACGTGGTGGACAAAATTCGAAGTTCGAACGTGGCAACTTTTCTCCGTCAAATGCGGCAATGCAACAAAATCCAATTCACTTTCCTAATTAAAACACGACTTCAACCCTATCAAACACAACTTTTACTTTCCAAGCAATTGATAAATATTGTTGAAAAGTTAAATCCTCTCGTTCATTGAATCAGCATTTGTCAATTGAAATTTGTCGAACGAAACCTCGAAAATCAAATGGAGTCCAATTGTAGAGAGCAGGAGACGAGTAAATTGGTCAGCATGTGCATCGAGGCGGCGACTGAGAGCGCCGCCGCAGTGGAGACTTGGCGGAGGCAGCGCCGGACACTGGAGCGCATGCCATCTCATCTCGCCGATGCTCTCCTCCACCGCCTTCTCAGACGCCGCCTTCTATTTCCTTCTTTGCTTGAGTAAATATTTTTAACCGACTTATAATTTCATTTCGGTTCATTAGATTTGGCATGTATCTCAATAACCATAAATGCACTTCTTAATGTTATGAATTCCAGTATAAGTTTGTTAAGATATACAGGTATCGATTTATGTACCACCGACGTTTTACATGAACTACAAAAGCCTCAAAATTTGGAAATCTATTGCTCGAGTCAACTCTTTCTGATATATATATTTTTTATTTTTTATTCTTTTGTGCGTATATGTATTTGCTGCCTTTTCTGATGCTATTTTATTGATCTGATTTTTCTATCGTTGAAAAATCTGTTATCTTTGTTAGATGGTTGGCTTATTTGAGATTTTCATACTCGTTTCCTGAAACGGAGGAGCTTGATCTTTACATAAGTTCGACAGTAGTGATTGTTTACCTTTGTTTTTTGATAGTGTTAGTGGTAGATTATGAATTAGCTAATGTTGATTAGATACAATGCCTGATATGTAGATTTATCTGTTTTCTACGGTGGGATCCATAGATGGTAAATTAACTACTGCTGCTAAGATACAATACCTGAAAAGTAGAGGTTTCGATGCATTATACTAAGAAAAAGGCTATCTAGCCCTACTGGTGCTAGAGCACCACTCTAGTTGGCAACATATGATAGATAAAATTAAATAATTTTATCTTCTTGCATTTAAATAAATCTATCATTTATTGCCACATATGTTGCAGGCTAGACTAACGTGCTAGATAGCATTACTCTTATACTAAATAAGTCAGGGCATTTTTCTTTCTGCATCTAACGTAGAGCCCTTTTGGTATGATTTTTACTTTTGCTTTCTATAGATGAGTTTTTGGAGGAAGCTACTTTAATTTTTGGAAATTATTTTTTAAAATAGCTTTCTATATCGAAAGTACTTTTAGAGGAAGTTATATTGAACCAACTTTTTTTAAAAGCTCTTATAATCCAAAAAAACACTTTCATAAAATTAGTTAAACATGTTCAAAAGTAACTTTTGTGTCTCAAAAACTCATTTTGACTTTTCAAAAGCAATGCTAAACGGCTGTTATTATAAGATTTTAAAGAGACTACTCTTGAGATGCATATTTTAGTTATCAAAGATCTAGAATTCTAGTAAATTTTCATTTTTAGCATTTATTGATATATACATATATGAAATTATTATCGGAAAATTGACCTTTTATATAATTTAGGTGTTAATTGACTGGCACCACTTCTTCCTGCTATCGCCAGATGGAATTATATGGAGCTAATTTAGATTTTCTACTACAGGGTTTTCAAGAATAATGCGGAGGAAATTGACCTGAATGGTGAGAACTGTGTGGATGCTGAATGGATGGCATACTTGGGGGCATTCCGATACTTACGCTCGTTGAATTTGGCGCATTGTCGCAGAATTAATAATTCAGCCATTTGGAATATATCAGGTATCTAGATGTAATATTTTGGTGAGCTATTCAATTCATGATTTGCAATATTTTTCTTCTTGTTCTATTTCCCGCCTACCTTTACTTTTGATTTTTTACTATTAACTTATCTAACATCAATAACCATAAACAATACCATTAGCTAGAAGCTATATTCTCTTGCATCTACAGCATTCAGCTCCTTTGTGATTGGCAGAAATATCTGACTAAAATATATTTATTTTAAAGAGTATGAATTATTTAAAGAAGTGATCATTTTTTCCCTCTTGAATTGCATATTCTCATTCTTGGGTAAATTTTCTCAAGCTTGCAGTTGAATTCCCATGATATGATTGACTACTTTTAAATGTTTGTAATACCTTCATCATTAAGTGACTGAATAAGTATATGAGATGATTTAGCGACCTTCATACTGATGTTGGTATATAGTGAAATAATCGTCAAAAGGATGATGTCCGTTCATTTCAATATTTATTAATGTTAGTGTTTTCACTTCTTGCAGGAATGACAAATTTAAAGGAATTGGACCTTTCAAGATGCTCCAAGATAACAGATGCTGGCATTGAGCATCTTTTGACAATTTCAGCTCTACAGAAGTTGTGCATTTCAGAGACATGTGTCACTTCAGATGGTGTTGCACGTCTCTGTTCACTAACTAATCTTTTAACATTGGACCTAGGAGGCTTATGTGTCACTGATTCGGCTCTGAGCTCTCTTCAGGTGGAACATTTTAAATATGCATTTTTTTACCTTTTTTATATGTTTCCCAATGAGGTTGCTGCTGCATTGATTGAGATTTTTTATTACTTTATTCATACTTCTTTTACATGCATATCAATTGCTATATAAAGCATTTTAGATAACAAAGATCCTTATGCCATAACAAAGAACCATGATGTCTTCAGAAATATATATATATATATATTATTTTTATTTTTTATTTTTTTTAAACTAAGATCTTCTGCCAGAGCATTGAATACCAAGATTACAATGAGGTCATCATAAAGTTACTGAAAGTAAAGTTCAAAGCTTTCAGGGTCATGAGTTCAATGTGTACCTGTAGCATTATATTTTCATCTCCAAAATAATCGTTTTGGCTATTTGTCAAGTTTATTTTCTTCTTTAAAATAGGAGAACAAATAGAGGTTTGATTTGGTCAAATAGTGTTTGTAAATGGTTTGAATTATAAAAGATAGAAATGAGTGGTAAATGAGTGGGTGGTATTTCTGGGTCCCTCGAAATGTGTGAATAAAAAGTGCTTGAGTCTCTATAAGTAGTTTATAAACATGAGCCAAACATAGGCTTATGTTGTCACTTATCAAGGCTATTTAGCCCACCTTTCATTCAAGTCATACATTGACAATGTATTGTTAGTGTGAGTTTTACACTTTTCTTCATCTCTCCTGCCAGAGGAATTTTCTCTCTTTCCTAATTTAAATTTCACCATCAGTTTCAACTTTACTCCTTTCCGAAGGTTGAATAACATGTTCCAAGTGATTGACATAATTTATTATTTGTTAGATTCTCAAGAAATTGCAATATTTAGACCTTTGGGGGAGTGAAGTATCAAATGAGGGAGCCGCTCTCCTCAAAGTGTTCCCCAACCTGAGTTTTTTAAATCTAGCTTGGACCAATGTTACAAAGTTGCCAAATTTGTTCTCTCTTGCGTTCCTAAACATGAGTAACTGCACAATACATTCTTTATTTAAAGAAGGTTGCAGAGCTCACCTGGAGAAGCTTATTCTTTCTGGAGCTACAATTACAGATGTCCATGACACCTTCCTAAATGTTGACACTAGTTGCCTTTATCACTTGGATTTGTCCAACTCTTCTGCTCCCTCGTTTTTCTTTTTGCCTTCTATGAAAGCAATCACACACTTGAATCTCAGCGGTAGTTTGGTGGTGGACGATTCTATCGAACACATTGCCAGTGTAGGAGCAAATCTAAGATATTTGAATCTCAGCAGCACAAAAATAAGCTCTGCTGGAGTTGCTATATTAGCTGGACATGTTCCTTGTCTCGAAACTATCTTGTTGTCCAGCACCTCCATTGATGATACTGCTGTCTCATATATTGGCGTGATGCCTTCCCTCAAAGTTGTCGACCTGAGCTGTACACTAGTTAAAGGTATATTAGATTTAATCAAACTAGTTCCCTTCTCATGTTTCATTCTAACCTCTATGCGGTTACTTACATTTTCTTGCATGTGATCTTTCAGAGCTTACTTAACACTAATTTAAGTATATATTCTGAACTACTGGACCAGGTTTCATTCACCAGGATGGCAACGAACCTGATTGGGTCCCATCATTTTCAGCGCTCCAAAATCTTAGTTATCTGGAAAGATTGGAGTTGGACGAGATACAAATTCATGATGCAGCATTGTGTCCTCTGACAAGCTTGGGCAGATTGAACTATTTATCTTTACGAAGTGGTATCCTTACAGATGCATCTTTATATCACGCATCATCTATTCCAAGGTTGAATTATCTTGGAATTCGTGATTCTGTGCTGACTGATGCTGGGCTCGTTTCTTTTGTTCCTCCTACAATGCTAGAAGTGCTGGACCTCAGGGGTTGCTGGCTGTTGACAGAGGATGTTCTTTCGGTTTTTAGTCAGAAGTATCCTCAAATTGAGGTGAAGCACGAGCTTGTCAGTAGTTCGACTACTGAAAAAAGGAACTCTAGTTTTCTATCTCCAGCTCAAGCAACTTCGAGAGGTTTGCAGTACAAACATAAGCTGGGACCACTTCGGTCCGATTTAGATACTTTTCTAGGTAACACATCTCAAAACTCTCTTATCTAGGGCATGTTTGATAGGTTGGATTGGAGACCAAATTATATTTTGTCTATTGTCTCAACTAATACTAACTGATACTGTATAGCAAACTTGCCCTAAAAGTTTTGTGAATTATGATCCTATCTAATCGCCACTACAATGATTTTTGAGCAGATCAAAGATTGAAGTACAGCAAAGAAGAACTATTGTCATTGCAATTTTCAACCGCCTCATTTTCAACTTCCACCGATCAAGGTAATCAGAATCATCAATAGCATTCCAGGTGATCAATCTTTATAGGTGGTCTGATCAACAAAATTTATGGTGACTTTATTTTGTCAAAAATCTATGAGTTAGGCCCAGAATTGCGGTCAGAGTAAGACTGTGTCAATGATTTTCACCCATGGTTCTATCATACCATATCGGGTGACTTTGACAAGTATTGTTGTATGCCTATGTGTTCAAACAACCACAACAAAAGAGAGGAGGTAAAAGGTGTTCTAGAATTGGAGAGCAAATAGAATAGATTTTATTATAGCGATCATTTTGGAGAATACGTGGTTGAAAGGTAAGAAAAAAATTTAGTTCACGTGTAAAATTATTTTATTGGGAAATGTGTGATTGAAATCAAGTTTGAAGAAAAACAAGTTTTTAAAGAATGAGGGTCAACCAGGGACTTAATTTTGTGTGGGTAGCTTTTATTTGTTTTTAATTGGGCCGAGTTAATGATTCCCTACAACACATCTTTGTGCCTGGAAAGGTTGCCCTTGTAAGCATTTCTCCATCTAAATAAATAGAGTTGTCCTGGCTGGCTTCAAACACATAAAGTTGTATGAAAACATTTTTAGAGTTAACAAAATGTTTGCTTAGAGTTTTGTTTTTCGAATCGCGTATAATATGAAAAGCTAGTGACTTCAAATTTTCTGTATTAAAATTGCTTTCTTTACTACTTTTCAAAGCTACAAATGGAAAGCACATAATTAATAAGTTAATCCTTCAAATTTTCAAAAAGGACATTGTTAACACTATTTACCAAGATTTGAATGAGTTTCTACTTTAGGTTTATTGGTAATCCATGATCGACTTCCTTTCGTAGTACCCAAAAAGTTTAGTAATGAGCATAACGGTCCTATTGTTTCACTGGAGAGAAGAATTTATGATTAGCTTTTCAGGAAATTTCCAATGGAGAAAAGCACTGGCGCGGGTCGCTTCATTCCGCCATCTTACCCCCAAGCTAAATCTTTGAATTCGAGACCCCCTCCTTTACTCTGATACCAGGCGATCAGCCTCTTCTTTCATCATTAATATTTTTCACTTTGGTACAGGATAACTCCATCTCCTTCTCAACATATTCACTTCTATACTCTCGTAATTCTTCAAATAATAGCTTTGATTCAAAGTTTACCTTTTTTAGCCTTAGAGTTGATGATGACTTCTTATTCAACTTGTCTCGATTCAAGAACAAGTTCCACTCGAGATCTGACTAAACCGTCCTTTAATATTCAGATCATTAGCTAAAAGTTGTATACAAATAATTCATATTTTCACAGTTCAAGGACTCGTATCTGAAAGGTTTGTAGTTTTTGACGTCTTAAATCCCCGCTTTTCTGATTAAAATACTTCTGGTTCTTTCTAAGACTCTTAACTATCCAATATTAAAAAAAAAAAAAAATGTATAAACCAAAAAATTAGTTGAAAATGATATGTTAAGAAGAATAAAGTCATTTGTTTCTATGAAATTAAATTGAAAATTTGGCATCGTCTTGATTTCTTTGCACACCCATGATTCTATTGGTTATTACACATTAGGCACTAATCTAAATTCAAGATAATGTAGACCCATGTGTACCACGAGCCGTTACGGTCGAGCAATGCTCAACTGTAGAGGTGGACCGACCCGTGATAGTCGGGGTTGGGATAGTGTATCACATTTTGACACTCGCTACATCAAAGCAAATATATAGTAATAGAGCAGATCTAAGTCATTTGCAATTTAACTAGAGGAAATAATGTAGACAGTAAGATGATCAGTAACTATTGTAAAATATATTTATTATGTTCTACTCTTCGAAGCTACTAAGAACTAAACGAGGACAGTTTATCAATAAGGGTTCATTTGATTGCAAGAATGAAATTTGGGTGAAAAGAAAACAAATTTCAGGAAATTGAATTGTCTAAAATTTGTTTTACAGGGAATTGTCAATTTATGTGTTTGATTGGTATAATTTTTCACCTGAAAAATGTTAAAATTTTGGATTTTTTGGTGTTCTTTTGGCTTTTTTTCCATGAAAATTGTTAATTAAAGGGATATAATTTTTTACAATTGTGGATAAAATTTGTTCCCATTACTAAAAATAAAAAAAAATAAAATAAATAAAGCTGGAAAATCAATTCTCACTGTACCAATTCATGGAAAATGCATGCTTGTGGGAGAAAAGATGGAAAATGAATTTCATGGAAAACTTTTGCTATCAAACAACAAAAAAGTTGGAAAATGAAAAATATCCCATATCAAACAGGCCCTAAGTTCATCATCAAAGTTTTCAATAGGAGACAAAGTTAACACGATTAACAGGGATTTGCATGAGATCTCGAGCTACATCCTTGAATTCAAGCACCCTTCCATCTCTAAATTTTGATAGCAATCGAGCAGCCTCTTCTTTAGTCATCAATATCTTCACTTTAGTCCCAGATAATTTCTCCTTCTCGACGTGTCCACAACGAGTCGAGTTGTTTCTACTCTCGTGATTCTTCTCACTTTCTTCTCTTTCAAGCAATGGCTTTTGTTCAATCTGGAAGTGTACCTTTTTTCTCATCTTAAGAGTCGAGGGCTTCTTGCTCAACTCATCTCTATAAATATAGTGTGGCACTTCTGGTTTTTTATGAGATTGAATTTCAGACATTTTTTGATGAAGTAAAGGAGTAAAGAAAGAGAGAATATTCGATGGAGAGATGTGTAGAAATATTCATTATGAGTCTATATATAAAATTTCGTGGCGAGACTATGGCATGGAGTGCAATTTGGGAGTGTGGACCAAGTCTTTTTGACGTTTTTATTCAGTTAATTAACATATGTCAGTTAACCCTAGAAAACCAAGAACGACGCAACAGAATAGGTAAACAAGAAAAGGACTGAAAGCTCCGATTTTGGTAGTCTTTGCAGTTGAAAACAGCAAAGGATTCCGAAAATCATGCTCGAAGATTAGCCGGCAAGGTTGAGTCTCTTCAATTTCCCTAGAGATGGCCAGCGACACCATGGCTTGCCTTTAACTTGATGAATTTGTTGAACCATCTCATTTATAAGACGTTATATATTAAAACTTGTAATACAAGGTGTGAAACATATGCAGCATTTATATGAGAGATTTTGCTATTTGTATAGAAAAACAGCTAGAAGAAGTGACATAAATCATGTGAAAGAAAAAGATTAGATGAAAATATTGATTGTTTTTTAAACTGGCGAATAATAGAGTATTATGTGACATTATGCAAGATATTATTTCATCTAAAAATTTAAATTGTGGAAGAAATTCAAATTACTTCAATTTAAGATTCAACAAAACAATGAAACTCAAATATGAAAATAATTTTTTTTATGGAAATTTAACTAATTATTTGGTCGTTTTCTGTCATGTTGATAGCTTAATTTTCTATTAGATTAAATTGGATGACTTCGTCTTATTTCTTTAACTTGAAGTTGACAAGTTGATTTGATTTTGTTTAACGAGATTGAATTGAATGGTAGACCACAAAAAAATGAAATTCAAAGAAATATTTATGTTGATGGAATCATTTTGCTAATTACCCTTAAGAAAGAAAATATACCAATAGAAATAGGTCAAGCCGTCAAGCTGCTCACGGGATCGGTTAGTTTTATTTCCTCATTTTTAGACTTGTTATACTAATTTCTTAAAATAATTGCTTATTTTGGCTTTTTTTTTTAATTCATTACTAAAAAATGGAAAAAAAGAACTGACTCATAAGCATATTAAGAGAGAGAGAGAGAGAGAGCCTGCTCGTGAGGCCTACAAGCCAAAGGATCGAGCTGTACTTGGGTATCTATACCGACTCAACCCATTGTCACCACTAGAGTATCCCAACTTTAGAATGGGTCCCAACTTTAGAATAGGTCACGAGATCATTTCAAATATTTTTCATTTTTGATCATGTATCTCTTATTTAAATATGATATTACACACTAAATATGTTTACTTACAAGACCTTAAATAATTGCAGAAGATAATAATTAGTAAAAGGGTAATCCTCCTTGCACAGGGCCCTGTGCACAGGGTGTGCACAGGGCCATGTGCAAATAGCACAACCCTTAGTAAAAATAAGGCAAAATAAGCAACAGGATATGAAAAGCAGGGGCAAGCAATAAAAACGATGGTTTTGCTAGAAAAACAGGCTCATTGACAGGATTTTTTGATAGGCATATACTTGGCATATTTTCATTGGCAATTGAAAGAAAAATTAAGCAGTGAATTGCCAATTAAAAACTACCAAATCATATTTTGGGAAAAGGCTCTATCACTCAGCCTGTTTCTTTTCCTTTTTCCTAAAAGGGATAGTCCCTCGCATGTTTGCGGATTTTCTGTTGGTACTTTTTTTGGAATCTCTCTCGATATGTGTGCAAAATATGGAAGCTCGTTCCCATCGTGCTCACGGCCCGACTAGCTTGCCAGTGATAGTGAAAATTCTCTTGTTGCTTTAAAGACTTTTACTTGGTCTTAATTACTTAAATTTATTTTAAGTGGGACCTATTACAATTTAATTAAATATAATAAATAACCCTGGTCATTTTCTCTCATATCAATATCAATATCATAGTTAATTTTCAACGGATTACATTCTTGTTTGGCCCCCATTTTGTAGAAATGAAAATGGGTGGAATAGTATTTTTTTTGAAAAATCAGTGATTGAAAAAAAAGTAAAAGTTTTTTATTTACATGTAATATTAATTTATGAAAGATTTTGTGGTTGAAAATATAAGAGAGAAAAAATGAAATGAAATGAAAAGAAAATTAACGGGGCTAAACGGGGGCCAAGTGTTGATGACAAAATTAAAACGCGTCTTCACTTGTGTAACTCGAGCTTTGACTAGTCATCGGACCAGACAATGGGTTAATATGTTGAAATAAATTGAGCTTTGACTAGTCATCGGACCAGGCAATGGGTTAATATGTTGAAATAAATTGAATGCTAGCCATAATTGCTATATATTTAATTTATTGTGCAAAGTCTTGTACAATTACAATTTTATCCCCGACTTTTAGATAATGTGAAAATGACTTCACAACTCCCTAAGCTATTTAGCATTACGAAAATCATTGCTTTGAAAGTTAAAATTTCATGTTCAAATTAAAATAAATATTAAGTGGTTTGATGATTTTACCTTCAATACTTGTAACTTCAGTTCATATGAATTATTGTGCAAATTCTTGTACAAGTACAATTTTATCTCTGACTTTTAGATAATTAGAAAATGACTTCACAACTCCCTAACCTATTTAGAATTACGAAAATTGTTGATTCGAAAGTTAAAATTTCATATTCAAATTATAAAATATTAAGTTGTTTGATGATTTTACCTTGCAACTTTAGTTCATATAAATTATTGTTCATATTGTCGGTTTCAAATGTAAGAACTCAAAGTCTCAATCTCATAAATTCAAATAGATTTGGAAAGTCAAAAATTCACTTTTGAAAATTGACAAACGTTTTTCACACTTTCTAAAAAGTTGGGGAGTGGAGCCCAATTTTTCCAATGACTGCAGTGCCAACTGATGAAAATAAGGTTATCATTTTTTCTAGCCTATTTTAATACGATAAAGGTAACAGTACATAATTTGGCGTATCGAAGGGTGTACACCCTCTCACATGAGGGTGGAATCCACGTGAATAAAATATTTGAGTGGACCCCACCATGTGAGAGGGTGTACACCCTTCGATATAGAAAATTATGTATCCCTAGCAAAACTCATTTTAATATTCAGTTTTGTATGCATTATGGTTCGATTAGCAACAACCTAATTATAGTCAAGATTATAGATGGCATTAGGTATGGAGGCCAAGTCTCAAGCCTTATGAGCTGAGATAGTAAAATTATTTTTATTATTTTATACCAATAAAAAAAATAGTGCATACCTTGAAATTTTATGAAGAATGCTATTTAATTACATTAGTTATGATCACCAATCTATGTTGCAAGTGATGTGTTATGAAATAAAGGTTAATGTAATGTACGAACATGTAACTAACTTTTTTGAATTATCATTTCGTGTCATATCGTGTGATGATATCTCTAATGAAGACATGGTATTACTCAAAATGTATCTTAGTTAGCCACAATGATTTGGTTGATGGCTCTTCAGTTGGGAATGGAAAGGGAAACAGATTTTAGGCTTGAAACTGTTACATGAAACGGGCTTGCAAATGTTGAGAGTCGGCTTTTGTTTTGTAAAGACGAAGAAGGATGAAAAAAAATTGAGAAAATGGATGTTAATGTTGTAAAAATTTTCACCGGGTTAGAGCAGAAATCACGAAACATGAATCAACAACGCCAAGAATAAGATAATTACGAACTTGTATCAACGAATGACTTGAACACGATATCGTTGTCCTCAAATGATATTTACCCCTTCTCCTATTGATTTGAGATGCTTTCAAGGTTGATGGCAAATGGTTTATAGGATTTTAACAAGAATTAATCACCAAAGCACAAGTGAAGAATCTTTGAAAACTTGAAGAACACAAGGGTTGAATATGAATATAAACGAACAAATTTTGATCTTTGATTGTGGAGTATTATGGAATCTCTAATGTTTTTTGATGTTTTTAGCCTTCAACATGGATCCAATATTTATAGGCATACACTATATACACGAAATGGTGCCAAAATATAAGTCAAAAGTCACCAAATTCAAACTTGTAACAGCCAAAAACCGACCTCCAACGATAAAAAAATTGTACCATGCGATTGCATGGTTCACCAAATGGTCTTGGCATATGGCCATGCGATTGCATGGACCAATTTTTTTTTTATTAATTGTTGTTGGTTTTAAACAACATAATTATAGCAATCTCCCACTTGTTCAAAATTAACAAGTCCCATATTCATAATATACGATACTCGTGCATAAGGATTAAATATCTTTTCGATTTGAATCTAACTATAGTGTAATTCAAACAAAGTTTAGTCGGAATCAAAGGTAGCGTGTAGCTTTGAACTAGTTATTCCATATGACAATACTGACAAGGACACACACACAAGTACCACGTGTTCTCAAGTTCTTCATAACTTGCTTAGCGCTTTTATAGTTTTGCGTTTATCCTTTTCAACAATCTTTTAAGAGAGAAACTCCAACTCTCTATTAAGGTGGCACCACTTTGAAGATTGTTTAGGTGAAATTCTTCCAGTACCTTTCTTACTTTTAGAGGTACTTGTGTTTTAGCACTGAACTTCATTAAGAGCTTAAAGCTCATCCCTCATTTCAGTAACAACCAGCATTATTTTAATTAGGATAGGATGATTGTGAATTTTAATAATGTTGCAACTATCCACATATCGAATGACTTGTTATCATCCTTTGAACCCGTAAATTACCTTTTAAGTAATGACAGGTAGGGTTGCTGTTATTGGTGAGCTTTTTTAGATAAGGAGTTTCAACCCCATCCTACTCGAAGTAGATGTTACTAAATCTCTGTTTAGAGGTTTAGTCAAAGGATTCTCCAAATTCTTAATTGACCTTACATAATTTAGGAAAATTATTTCATCTTTGATTAATTTCGTTATGTAGTCATGTCTTAGACTCATATATCTAGACTTTCCATTGTATATTTCATTGTATGCCTTTGCTAACGTGGCTTGACTATCACACATGATAGGTATTGAAGAAATGTTCTTTGATCCCAAAGGTATCTCATAAAGGAGATTC